GTTAGATTAACACAAATTTTGTTTTTGTTTTTTTTTCTTGGGAGGGATTTTCCATCACTGATATTGTTCAGAATTCCGAGTGCACTTTGATACTGTTTCAGCCCATTTTTTAAAAATTTTGTGTTCGCATTTTACTTTCATATGTGTTGCATCAATTATGTGAAAATATACTTACTCATGTTTGAACTCTTCTGCCAAACAAACACTTCTAGAGACTAACAAAGATGTACTTACATTTTTCATTCAAATGAGAGTCACGATCTATCCAGTCTCCTTTGTCACACATTAGAAAAATCCCTATTTGTCTATTAGTTTGCAAACAACTTCTTGTGTCTTCCCCAAGTCTCAGTAGCTGTGGGAGCATGTGCTATCACCAACAATTACATTTTAGCTATGTTTCTCTTATCCCTAAAACTCTCTAAAGGCTTTGCATCTGATTGACTTTCAAAACTCAGCTTAAGTCTGCACTTGAGGTGCACTGCCCTGTCCCTGGTGATGGGGAATTGAGGAGTTTGAGGTTGCACAGGCTGCCCAGGGAAGGTGCCTCTGATCGGTCAGATTTAAGCAGGGGCTTCAAAAAGGGGAGGGAGTGAAGCCTGCCACTACCTGGGGAGGAAGGTTCCAGCAAGGACCAAGGTCATGAGGCCACATGGTGGCTTAAAGAACAGCAAGAAAGATGTGACTGGGGCTGAAAGACTGAGGAGGGGAGTGTGAGAGTTGATGAGGATGAAAAAGTAGCAGTCAGGGCAAGACAGGAAGCAGGAACGTCTGAATCACATGGTGTGTGTTTCCATCTCTTCCTCACACTGAGTGATGCAGGCTCTGGCCTGGCCAAATTATACTAGATGTCCAGTTGGAAAATCTTGTTTAAATCAAATCCTCTCACTTAACAAAACCTAGTTTCCCAAAGAGGAAGATGAGGATAATAAACCTACCTCAAAGGGCTGTTGCACTTATTAAATTAAATAACATTTATAAAAGTACTTTTATAACCTGTGAAGTATCATGAGCACTACTCCCACCATTGCTATTCCAGGGGAGGACTATCTTCTGCCCCCTGAGGTTGTGGCTGGTCTAAGAATTAAATGGACAGGGACCAGCAGTTAGCATAATGGCTATGTTGCTGGACTCCCATGTAGTCGACCGTGGTTCGCGTCCCGGATCCGGCGGCTTAGAACTCATGCCGGGCGTGTGTGTGTGTGTGTGTGTGTGCCCAAGATCCCGAGAGGAGAATGGAGAAGGGATTGTGGCGTGGCCATCCTCTCTGAGGGGTGATTTCTTGCTTTTCGTCTCACTTCTCTCCAGCCAGTACACACACACTATAAAAAAAAAAAAAAAAAAAAAAAAAAAAAACCCAAAAAACAAAACACCTCTCCCTCCCCCCCCAAAAAAGAATCAAATGGACATATGACCTAGCCCCCGCACAGCAGAGCTTGCTGCTTGATGATGCTGCTTGGCAGGCTGAAGCCACATAGGAGGCCTAAGTTCAAATCCCATGTATACTGGCACATGCTTGTAGTCCCAGATACTTGAGAGGTTGAAGTAGGATTGTGACATAGCAATATCCTCTTAAAAGTAATATAAATTTTAAAATTTTATAAGAAAAAAGAATTATATTGACACATTAACAAGAAAAAAGTTATACATATTTAACATCATTTATACATATACAGGAGTCTTCAGAAGGAAAATGAAGATCCAAACAGCTGTTTAGTTCAAAAGCCTATATACTTCTTTATACAAAGAATGAATGTGTATGCTCCATATACTGAGCTATCTCCTTCTCCTCCTTCCTTTCTTCTTCAGACCCAGCTACAAGCCACAACTGGGTCTCCTCAGCATCTTATACCCATTACCTTTATCTCATGGAGCTGGCTGTGACTGTTCTGGAGATAAGAGCTCATCTTCCACATCAGCATAAAGAGACTGGGGAGCTGAACTTACCTGTTCTTTCCTATTGATTCTGATGACTGGTAAACTAAACTGTTATCATAATCTCCAAACAATGTATGTAGAAACCAGACCCTGGGCCAACCCATGTGTGGTGGTTAAGGTGGCTGATCCCACATGGCTGAATGTGTATTTAAGTCCCAGATCCCGTGTTGAAAACACAACAGGAATATGTGCATGTGTGCCTAAAATCCCTCAAGGAAGGAGAAACCGAGTAGGGATTATGGAGTGACCATTCTCCAAGGGTGAGGGCAGGTGTGCTCTCTCTCTCTCTCTCTCTCTCTCTCTCTCTCCCTGATGAGTACATGTGTCCTCTGGACAAAAGAAAAAGAACATTGTTTTAAAAAATGAAAGAAACCAGATCCCTGCCTTGGTGTCAAGGAGCCTCCACTGCTCCATGAGTGACTTATGCTTTAATGTGAAACGTTTATAACCTTGCTATATGTCCACTGACAGTGAGGATCACCCACCAACCAGCCATCATCGGTGTATCCTTCCTACATGTAAGTAAAAAAATTACTCACATCTGTCTCTGCTGGACCTTTAGGTGACTTCTTTGGGATCAGTAAACATCACATGTAAGCCTTCTCAGATTTGGGGCTCCCACCTTACAATGATAAATTTGGGGGATGTGATAAAAAGGGACGTTTGGGTTATGGACAATTTATTGTGAGACAGTTACTAGTGTAAGACAATAGTCGGAGGGGTTCATTTTCAAGAACAGCTTAACAAAAGTTTGCAGATGTGACAACCCCAGAAAGTACACATTCCCAGAAAGTTTCTCAATAGATGAAAACCGAAAACAACAGGTCACTCTTGAGAAATCATTTCTCAAGATGGCGGCTGATCACCTGCCCTTCATTCCTTTTTACTTCCTGATTCTTGGCCCTCATCAGGACATTTGGTGAGCTTTTTTCACAGGCTTGTCCTGAGCTGCTATGCCTTTCTGTCAGATAAGAGAGAGAGGGGAAGGAGACAATACGTGCCTTATAAGGGAATAATGAAACTTGGGCAACATCTAGTGGCATAGCCCCCCCCCCGGGGGGTGATTCCTCACTTTCCCTCTCTCCCCCGCTCTCTCTCTCTCTCTCTCTCTCTCTCTCTCTCTCTCCCTGATGAGTACATGTGTCCTCTGGACAAAAGAAAAAGAACATTGTTTTAAAAAATGAAAGAAACCAGATCCCTGCCTTGGTGTCAAGGAGCCTCCACTGCTCCATGAGTGACTTATGCTTTAATGTGAAACGTTTATAACCTTGCTATATGTCCACTGACAGTGAGGATCACCCACCAACCAGCCATCATCGGTGTATCCTTCCTACATGTAAGTAAAAAAATTACTCACATCTGTCTCTGCTGGACCTTTAGGTGACTTCTTTGGGATCAGTAAACATCACATGTAAGCCTTCTCAGATTTGGGGCTCCCACCTTACAATGATAAATTTGGGGGATGTGATAAAAAGGGACGTTTGGGTTATGAACAATTTATTGTGAGACAGATACTAGTGTAAGACAATAGTCGGAGGGGTTCATTTTCAAGAACAGCTTAACAAAAGTTTGCAGATGTGACAACCCCAGAAAGTACACATTCCCAGAAAGTTTCTCAATAGATGAAAACCGAAAACAACAGGTCACTCTTGAGAAATCATTTCTCAAGATGGCGGCTGATCACCTGCCCTTCATTCCTTTTTACTTCCTGATTCTTGGCCCTCATCAGGACATTTGGTGAGCTTTTTTCACAGGCTTGTCCTGAGCTGCTATGCCTTTCTGTCAGATAAGAGAGAGAGGGGAAGGAGACAATACGTGCCTTATAAGGGAATAATGAAACTTGGGCAACATCTAGGAAGATTGTACACCCCATAGCACTGAGTCAATGAGGAGGGACTTGCACACTACGGTATAAATTGTTTGTTCTGTTTTGGGTGTGCCTGCCCATCAGACACCCAATCTTGCAAGATTGCCATTAAAGTCTCCCTTCACTGCACCTTGTGTCTCTGTGCCCATTCCTTGGCATTGGGTGGGAGGGCACATTTCTCACACTAGAAAATATATGGGGGAACATGATGGCAGATAAGGATTATTATTGTTTTTTTTTTTGAAAAATTTTTGCTATAGGGTGTGTGTGCTTGTTAGAGAGACAGTGACGAAAAGCGAGAAATCACCTCCCCAGGGGGACGGTCACACTGCAATCCCTTTTCCTTTTTTCTCCTCCTGGGATCTTGAGCATGCATGCACATACACTAGCACCCGGTATGAGTTTTAAGCCAGGACTCATACCATAGTCGGCCATGTGGGAGACCAGTAGCATAATGGCTACACCATCTGCTGGCCCCAGTAAGGATTATTTAGTAGTTTTGTTTATAACTATCTTACCTCATTGATTCCCAGTGATGAGGAGGTTCTTCTCTTTCCTGCACAAGGAGAATACCTTTCTTGGGAAATATTATGACCTGCTTTTAGGTAGAAAGGGAGAGGGCAGAGAGTCCTTCCTGGTTGCTGTTTCTCAAGTGTCTTCAGCTTAAGATAATCAACATATCAAGCAGCATGTTTTGAAGTGGCACATTTTGAACTCCTTCTCTACTATGGGAGGTTGATGGTTAACACCAAGGAAGTGGAGGCATTCTAAGCTCAGTGCTTGAATCCTGGAGTTCTTTTCCCATTGATCCCCAGTTCCATTCTCACCCAGCCTATCCTTCTTGGGAAGCCTTCATGAAGCTGGCAGGTAGGCAGGCATGCTTCTCATCAGCATGACAAGCGGTGCATCACCACCCATGGGGATAAGAGTTAACCAAGCTAAACAGTGCAAGATAACCTTCATTTGCAAATCTGATGAGCAAAATTACAGGGTTCAATTGTAACAGAGGAGGGAAGTGAAGCTCAAGATTATAATTTCCATATCTAAGATTAGCAGCTTGAAAGTACAGTACATGCGTCAAATGACAGTGTCAAAGATACTACAGATTTGCATGACACCAGCACACACATGGAGATATCATTCTAGAGAGTAGAAACAAAGACACAGTACTCTGAAAAATCACGTGAGATGGATATACCTGAGTGTAGGCCGCATGACAGGATACCATGACATCATTTGTTGAATCTACTGATAGAGGTCTTGGGGAAAACATCTGCTAATCCGGAGGAAAGCATGAACTGTCTTTTCATTTTTTTTTCTCTTTCACAGGTCAGAAGGATGTGTTCTTCGCCTAAAGAAAGACTCTCTTAGGGACCAGCAGGTGGCGTGGTGGTTAAAGGCACTGGATTCCCACATGGTTGACCACAGTTCGAGTCCTGGACCTGGTGACTTGCTCTCTCACTTTCCCTCTCTCTCTCTCTCTGATCAAACTGAAAAAACAAACAAACAAACAAACCAATAATAATAAAAAATAAAGTTAAATAAAATAATTTTTAAAAAAGAAAAATACACTTTATCTTAAAAAAAAAAGAGAGAGAGAAAGACTCCCTTATTTAAATCAAGTAGTAGAGAAGATGGTGACAAAAAGTAAGATTATCTCAGGAAAATTTAACACTTCATTAGCATTTTTTAAAGAATTATTTATTTTAATTTTACTTAATACTATTATTACTTTTCAACTTGCTACAGGGCACATGCCAAAGAGAGACGGAGAGAAAAAGTGAGAAAGCAAACTACCAGGTCTGGGACTCAAACCACGATCAGCTGTGTGTGAGTCTAGAGCCTTAACCACCATGCCACTTGCTAGCCCCTCTCCCCTGCACTTCAATGTGATGTTTCTGCATCATAGTAGTTTATTTAAGGTTTTGACTTCCAACAGACCCGGGTTTGAATCCTGTGTGCCATTCGCTTGTTGTGAGACCCTGGTCAAGTGACTTACCTTTTCTAAGTTTCTGTTTTCTTATTTAGTAAGAGGAGACAGCAAGAGTGACCAATTGGTAGGACCGTGGTGAAGATTAAGTAAAAAAATACATGCAAAGCACAGCACAGTGCTGTAAGTTTTTGATAAATGCTAGTCATTTGTATTATGATTGGGCAAAAAATGACAAAATAAGACTTAGCAGAGTGAAAAGCATAAAAACAACTGAGAATAGGCAGAAATCATTAAGCCAGAAGAGTTAAGAATCATTCTTAGTTTTCTTGGATTTATCTAATATAAATCTGTTGTAATATACAGTCTACATAAACTTTTTTGAAAAAGAAACTTATTTAAAAGATAGTATCTAAAAACACATTTGATTTAAAACTTATTCACATGTTAAGGTTCAGGATACTGTGACTTACTATTAAAGAAAAATATACATTGTGAGATTTAAATATAGTGCCAATATTTTCAAAGAAAACACTTCTTTAAAATTACCAGTAGGTGGGCTGTCAGGTGGCATGGTGGTTAAGCGCTCTGGAATCCCACATGGCTGACCGTGGTTTAAGTCTTGGACCTGGCGACTTGCTTTTCTCACTTTCTCTTTCTCTCTCGCTCTCACTCTCGCTCTATCCCTCTCTGGTGTGTATGTATGTATGTATAAATAAATAAATAAATAAAAATAAAATAATTCTAAAAACAAAATTACCAGTAGAGGCACCAGCAGATGGTGTAATGGTTACATCACTGGACTCCCATGTAGCCGACTGTGGTTTGAGTCCCCGATCCAGATCCAGTGGCTTAAACTCATACTGGGCACATGCACATGCATGCCCCAAATCCCAAGAGGAGACTAGGAGAAAAGAGATTGCGGAGTGACCGTTCCCCCTGGGGGGTGATTTCTCATTTTCTGTTTCTCTGTCTCTGGCTGGCACATGGGTCCTATAGCAAAAATTTTTCTTAAAAAAAAATTACTAATAGAAATAATTATTCTCAATATACTAGAATCTTATTTATCTGGAACCATGGGTAAATTAAGAGTTCATGCACATAAGTAAAATTTCTAAATTACTAAACCCACTCCATTAATCATCAAAACTTTTCAAATATTTTAGGGCCAGCCAGTGGTATTGCAGTGGCAGCTGGGTCCCACATGACTCACTGCACATAAATTACTAAACCCACTCCATTAATCATCAAGACTTTTCAAATATTTTAGGGTCAGCCAGTGGTATTGCAGTGGCAGCTGGTCCCACATGACTCACTGCACAATTTGAGCTCCTGACCCAGTGGCTTAAAAAACACAATGGGTGCATGGGCATACATGCCCAAAATCCCAAGAGATGGGTGGCCATCAGCTCTGGAAAGTTTTTTTTCTCTCTCTCTCTCTGGAGAGCACATGTGCCCTATAACAAAAATATTTTTTTTTGAAAATTTAGGTAATGTATTTTACTATATTTATTGTAATATATTAATGTATTATACATACACACCATTGTTAGATGACTATCTTAGACAATTTTCTACATTCTTAGTATTTTCTTGTTGACTGTGGTCTGTTGATCTGAAAATTAATTACTGCATAATATTGAAACATGCATTTCCCTCAGGACCTATTCATAAGTTAGACTCCCAGCAACCTGAATAGTCACACAATAAAGAATTTTTCAAAAACCAAAATTAGAATGTCTTTTTAGGGGCCAGCAGCTAGCGTGGTGGTTCAGGGTGCTGGGCTCCCACCTGGCCTACTGTGGTTTTTTTTAAATTATTTTTATCTAACTTTATTTATTATTGTTATCATTATTTTCCGGTTTTATCAGAGAGAGACAGAGAGAGGAAGTGAGAAAGCAAACCACCAGGTCCGAGACTTGAACCGTGGCCGGCCATGTGGGAGTCCAGCGCCTTTAACCACCATGCCACCTGCCGGCCCCCCTACTGTGGTTTGAGTCACAGATCTGGCAACTTACTTTCTCACTCTCTCTCTTGTTCTGTTCCTCACTGGTCAAATTAAAATAAGTAAATAACAAAGTTAAATAAAATAATTATTTTTCAAAAAATGTCTTTTTAACGTCCTTATCCTCTTGTCAAAAGTGAAGAAAAATAGACTTTTTATAAAACACGTGGCAAAAGTAAGTCACACAGCTGCCTTTCTTTTACAATTTTTTTCAGTTTATTCATTAATTTTTTTTCCATGAGAGAGAAGAAACAGACAGACACCCCTAACAGGGTTTTCACACCATGATCTACCATGTCTCAGCCTGTCCAGATCATGGGCAGATACAAACATACCCAACATGTTCAAGGGAGTCCTAAAATACGAGCCTCGGACCTTCCCTGTGGGGTTCCCCTTGAGTTACCATGTATCCTCACCTAGCCTATGATACTCAGTTCAGATTCCCACCTCAACAGGATTCTGACAAACAAGGGCTTCACAAGAAAGTCTGAGTCCATGAGGTGAGAAATGGAGAAGAGAATGGAGTGTAACTATGCCCCATTGTGGGGTGCTTTTTCCCTCTCCCACTCTCTCCCTCTGTTTCTGGAGAATGCGTGTGACCTTTGACAACTTAAAAATAACTAAATAAATACCTTTGCTAACTTAAAAATAAATAAACAAACACATTAATTAATTAGTTAAAAGTATGTTCTCTGACCACAATGGAATGAAACTAGGGGGCTGGCTTCATTGCCTAGTGGTTAAGGAATTCAGATCTCACATGGCTGACTATGGTTTGATCCTGGCCCGAGTGGTTTTAAAAACATGCTAGGTGCATGTATGCACATGTCTCAAGTTCCAATAGGGTGGAAAAATGGAGAAGAAGGGGTTGCAGCATGACTGCACCCCAATGGGAGATGCTTTCTCTTCTTTCTCCTCTCTCTGTCTCTTTCTGGTGAGCATACATGCCCTCTGGCAATAAAATGAAATAAAAGATAAAACAAAATATAAAATAAAATAAAATAGAAACAAGGGGCTGGCAGGTGGCGTGGTGGTTACGGGTGCTGGATTCCCATATGGCCAGCCGCAGTTCAAGTCCTAGACCTGGCAACTTGCTTTCTTGCTTTCCCTTTCTCTTTCTCTGTCTCTCTCTGGTCAAATTAAGGCAATGATAATAACAAATGGAAACAACTAAATAAATAATTTTTTGAGAGGTTTTTGCTATAGGGTGCGTGCGCTTGCCAGACAGAGAGAGACAGAGAGAGAGAAAGCGAGAAATCACTCCCCAGGGGGGATGGCCACGCCGCAATCCCTTCTTCTCTGTTCTCCTCTCAGGAACTTGGGCATGCAAGTACATGTGCCCGGCGTGAGTTTTAAGCCACCGGGTCCAGGACGTGAACCGCGGTTGACTACATGGGAGTCCAGCAACATAGCCATTACGCTAACTGCTGGTCCCAATAAATAATCTTTTAAAAAATAAAAAAAATTAGAAACAAAAACAGAAACAGGAAACTTTCCAAATACTTGGAAATTAAACAAAACACTTCTAAATAAACTGTGGGTCAAAGAAAAAGTCTTGAGAGCCACAGACTCAGAGATGCAGAAGGGTGTGCATTTGAAAGACTCATAGTTCAAATAAATTTAGTAAAGAGGAAGGGCTGGGGATTTGAGAAAACTCACCTGTAGCCTTCTCTTGTGCTCTGTATGTATTGCCTAGAAGATCGGATTACAAACAATACAGTGCTTTGAAGTAAATAAGTAACTTTTATTCAGCAAGTTTTACCGTACACATTCACAATGGGAAATTCTGTAAATGTGCGGTGGACGGGAAAGAAAGAACATATAAACAGTAGGTTTTCTCCACAGCCAAAAACATCTTTAAGAAGGAAGTTAAAGATTTACTTAGAAACACAAAGCACAGCACGTAAGAGCTGTTATGTAGGACACAGGTCACATTAACCCAGTGGGACTCAGCTTGCTTCTCAGGAAACGGGTTACAGGAAACTGTGTTCCATCTCCTGTGCTTGAGGACCCCGTGTGCCAGGTCACCCATGTTGTCTTCCAGCAGATCCGGGCCATCGTCACACAGGATGGCCTCCACCATGAGAGAAAAATTAGAAAGATTTTAACCTGAACAAAAATGAAAACATAGCTTATCAAAATTGTGGCATTCTAAAAAATAAAGTCTTCGAAGCAAAAAAGTGTGGGATGCAAGTAAAGTAGCACTTAGAGTGAAACTATGACATTCAAGGCTTGTAATAGAAAAGAAAGGTTTTACATCAATACCAAAACCTCCACCTAAGAAACAAACAAGCCAAAAAAAGCAAAATAAATCTAAAGCAAGCAAAAGGAAGGAAATAATGAAGATAAAAGTAGCAACTAATAAAATTGAAAACGGAAAAACCATAGAGTAGAGCATACAGCTGTCTCACTCTTTCTGTATATGTAGTCAGCCACTTAAGTGAAACGAACAAATTCCTTAAAGATCACAAATGACCAAAGCTCACTCAGGATAAAATATAGAGGGGCCAGGTGGTGGCATCACTGACCCCAAGGGAGGGGCCCTTGGTACAAGTCCCAGGGCCTCCCAGAGCACACCAGGCTCACACGCATGTCCGCAATCTGAGCCATGAGACTGGGGTGGAGGACCCTTTCAGGTGTCTTTCTCCCTCTCCCTCCCTCCCTTTTTCTCTCTGGTGTAAAAAATAAAGAAAATTTTTAGGACCAATTTTATGGTCTGGTGGTTAAAAGAGTCCAATCCAACCCCACATGGCTGACTATGTGGTTCGAGTCCCTGCTCCAGCAGCTTGAACAACATACTGGCACCTGTGCACGTGTGGCCAAAATTCCAGCACAGTGGATAAACGGGGGAGAGAGAGGTGCTTTGTTCCCCTCCCCCACCCTCTCTCTCTGGCAAGTGCATGCACCCGCTAGCAAAATTATTTAAAACTTTAATAAAATATATAATATAAATTTTTATATTCACATAATGTAAATAGGTACATATTTACATACCTATATACAAATCATCTTATTATGAGGAACTGGCTCACAGAATTATGGGGCCTGAGAATCCCATTATCAGTCATCTGCAAGCTGCAAAGCTAGGACAGATGTTATACTTCAGTCCAAGTCCAAAGGCCTGAGATCCAGGGCAACCAATGACCTAAAGCCCAGTCTGGAACAGGAGAAGATAAGGTGTCAAAGTTCAAGCCCTGAGGCAGGAAAAAAACCTTGAATTTCTCCTTCCTCTGCTCTTGGTTCTATTCAGGCCTTCAAAGATTGGATGGATGACTCCCACGCACACAGAGGAGACCAGATTCCACAGATTCAAATTGTACTTTCCTGGGTCCACAGATTCAAATACTAATTTCATCTGGAAATACCCTCAGTGACACCTAGAAACAATGTTAAAACAATGTTTAAACTTGGCAACCTGTAACTTAACTAAAATTCACATATAAAATTAATAATCACAATAACTAAGCAGGTTTTTTTCCCCTGGAATGCATAGCTGGTTCAATATTTAAAAATCAGTCAATGATGGGGTTGGCAGGTGGTGTGATGGTTTAAGAGTGCTGGACTCCCACATGACTGACTGTGGTTTGAGTCCCGAACCTGGTGGCTTACTTTTTCACTTTCTCTCTCTCTCTCTCTCTTTCATACTCTGTCCCTCTCTGGTCAAATTTAAATAAATAAATTAATTAATTAAATTAAATTAAATACTTCTAAATAAATCAAATCAATCAATGCAATCCACCATGGTCATATTAATTGATAAGGAGAAAGCATTTGACAAAATTCATCAATTCATTATAAAAATTTTCAGCAAACTAGGAATGTAAGAAAATTTCTGGGTCAGCAGATGGTGTGGTGGTTAAAGGCTAAGGACTCCCACATGGCCTACTGCAGTTCAAGTCCCAGACCCGGTGGCTTGCTTTCTCATTCTCACTTTCCCTCTTTCACTCTGTCCCTCTCTGGTCAAATGAAAATAAAGAAAGAAAAAGAAAGAAAGAAAGAAAGAAAGAAAGATTGAAATGGTGAAAGAAAGAAAGAAAGAAAGAAAGAAAGAAAGAAAGAAAGAAAGAAAGTTAAATAAAAAATAATTATTTAAAAAATGTAAAAAGAGAGGCCAGCAAGTGACATGATATGGTAGTTAAAGATGCTGGACTCCCACAGTCCGAGTCTCAGAGCTGGAGGCGTGCTTTCTCACTTTTCCTCTCTCTCTCTCTCTGTCTCTCTCTGGTCAAATTGAAATACTACTACTACTAATAATTAGTTAAATAAAAAATAATTATTTAAAAAATGTAAAAAGAGAGGCCAGCAAGTGACATGATATGGTAGTTAAAGATGCTGGACTCCCACAGTCCGAGTCTCAGAGCTGGAGGCGTGCTTTCTCACTTTTCCTCTCTCTCTCTCTCTGTCTCTCTCTGGTCAAATTGAAATACTACTACTAATAATAATTATGTGGGACTGGCAGGTGATGTGGTGGTTAAGGGCACGGAACTCTCACATGGCTGACTGTGGTTCGAGTCCCAGGCCTATTGGCTTGCTTTCTCATCTTCTCTTTCTTTCTCTTTCTGTCTCTCTCACTCTGTCACTCTCTGGTCAAACTGAAATAAATTATTAAAATAAATGGATAAAAATAAATCAAATAAATAGAGTTAAATAAATAATTCTTTAAAAATTTTAATAACAAATGGAATTAAAAATAATTTTTTTTTCAAAACAGAAATTTTCTTCAGTTAAATAGCAGTCATCTACAAAAATCTAAACTTAAAACATACCACTTAATGGAAAAAGACTGAAGTTTTTCCTAAAATCAGGAATAAGACTAATACATTCTTTTCTCTGCTATAACTTTGACTATAGGGTGCATGTGCTCTCTGGAGAGAGACAGAGAGAGAATGTGAGAAAGCATCCTTCAAGGGGAGTGGTCATGCCACGCAGTCAACTATGTGGGATCTCACAGCCTTAACCACCATGCCACTAGTTGGCCTAAGTACGTTCTTTGAGGGTACGTACCTAGGCAACAAAGCTCTAAAACAAGGCAAGGAATTGATTATTACCCAAGTCTAGATAGTTGTAACCTCTAGGAGGAAAGGAAGTGAGACACTTGTAATTGAAAAGAAGCAAACAAGGTCTTCTGTGAGTGCTGGTAATAGTTTGTTTCTTGACCTAATGGTGGTTTCACAGGTGTGCATGTCACAATATGTCAAGTCATATCTATGTTGTATGTATTTTCCTGTATTTTATGCAGTTTCCTGTATTCGTAGGGTTTCATAATCCTCCTACATCAGTTTCCTGAGTAGCTGCGACCACAGGCCCATGTCACCAAGCCCGGCCTTTATGTTGGAACTTGAGCTGAGCTTGGGCCTCCCGTGTGATCCCAACTTGCAAAGCACAGTGTCTTAGTGGTGCAACTACCATGGCTAGGCTTTATATTTTTAACATTAACAAGTAGATACTTGAAGTGATTGATTTCCATCTTATTTTAGTTAAACCAAGATCTGGTTTAGCTACTCAGCGTATGAGAGTAGTCTTGGTCAGCTCCCTAGTTTTGGTTTTTCTCCTCCACACAGTGAGGGCTAGGCTAGAAAGGGGTGGCATCCATGCCATACTAACCAGCATGCATGCCTCCGCTAGCAATTGTCTTAGACTGTTGTCAGCTTCGATCAAAAATCCTTTCTGATTGAAAAACAATGTCAAAATTGGCCTTAATTACCTAAAAGCTTTTTAAATAATTTCCTTAGAAGATTATTTATAGCAAAGCCATTTAATATCATTAAGATAATTCCTTGTGCATTAAAAAAAAAACTTACTTTAAATTCTAGTGATGGCTCAAAATGTCTTTCCTAAATTTTCAGGTTTCACTTGCTTAAAATAGCACTTAAAATAAAAATTTGAATCAAGGGGCTAACAGAAATTTTGAAAAACAAGCATGGACAGTGAGTTAAAGGTGGTGAAAGTCTCATAATTGTTACTAATTTATATCAGTACAATGCAGAACATATTTAGACTGTTGGGAAAGTCATGACATTTTCCTATGTTTTCCTCTGCAAAAATGCTTCATGACTTTCTAACAACCTAATATAAAACTGTGTAGGCAACCTTCACCAAAAGTGCTTTCACAATAACATTTTTTCCAGAGATGAAAAAAGTGAATTCAAGCTTGAGTTTTTGTTATGAACGTTCATTCACTCTGAAATTTAGAAAGCTCTTATTTTGGGGTGTTGAGGCTCAGAAAACAATACTCTGAAGCAGCCTCAAGAGCAAAGTTTCTCTCTGACCTTTTCTGTCTTCCAATCTCTCACCCCTCATTCTTCCCCAAGGCAAGCCATAGAAACTCGAGTTTCTCTTTCCTAAGGGAGGTTCATAGGAACCAGAATCCGTTTTCCCACCAAGCCAATCATAGACTCTAAAGTATAACTCTAACCTTTCCCCTACTTTTCTGTGTAACAACCGATCATGAATAAATTAAGACTTTCATTCCAGAGTGGTCCTACCCCATTCCTGGGAGAAAGAAAGGCTACCACAGAGCGGCCAAGAGGAATCTAAACAGCCCTTGCTGGGTTTTCCCACTCGGTCCATTTCCATTATTAGTTCACACTTTTTTTCCAATCACATGTCTACACAGCTATTCCAGCTTCATCACACCCTAAGCATCAAATCAGACAGCTTTCCCTGTGTCTCCGGGCTTTCATTCTGAAGTTTTGTGTGACATGTAAAAACTTATGCTATTAATAAATAAGTGTGTTATGCTTTTCCCTTGCCAAGCTCTTGTGTTATAAATGTATTGGCCATGACCTATATGATGGTAGTGGATATTTATCACTCCTTTTCTACCCTACAGGGGAGAATTGAGTGTTTTCTATAATACATGTGTGTATGTAATAGCCTGTCTTTGTGTTTTGTTACATGTGTTCAAGTTTTAAACTTCTAGATAGTAAAACCTAAATACCTAGGGCCAGCTCATTGCCTGGGGGTTAAAGCAGCTGGATCCCACATGAACAACTGTGATGTTTGAGTTCTGGACCCAGAAGCTTGAAAAACATACCAGGTATGTGTGCATGTGCTTGCCCCAAACCCTGAAATGAGAGACAAGGAGGAGAAGGGATGATGATGTAACCATTTCTGAGGGTGGGCGCTTTCTTCTCTCTCTCTCATTCTCCTGATCTCTCTTTGATGAAGGAATGTCCCTCTAGTAAAATTTAAAAACCCATAATAATCTAGAACTCCCTTCTTTGTGATTCTTTTTTACTTTCTCTATACTTAAAAAAAGTAGTTCCTGGGGCAGTAGGTGGTGTGGTGGTTAAGGAACTGGACTCCTATGTGGTCGCTGCAATTTGAATCTTGGACCTGGTGGCTTGCTTTCTCACTTTCTCTCTCTCTCTTTGTCTCTCTCTGGTGAGTGCTCATACCCTGTAACAAATTTTAACAATTAATAATTATGATAGATAAAATTAAGTAAATAATTCTAAAAAGAAGAAAAGAGTTCCTCATACATATGTGTCATATAATTAATCTCATTCATTTATTTAATGAATATGAATCATCAGGGCCAGCAGATGGTGTAGCGGTTACGTCACTAGACTCCCACATGGCTGACTGCAGTTTGAGTCCCAAGCCTGGTGACTTGAAAATCATGCCGGGCATGTGTGCATGTATGCCCAAAATCCCAGGAAAAAAATGGAGGAGAAGGGATTGCATGATGGCCATCCCCCCTCGGGGGGTGATTTCTCACTTTTTCTCTCACTGTCTCTGTTTCTCTCTCTCTCTGGTAAGCACATGTATCCTAAGGCAAAAACCTCTAAATAGATAAATAAATAAAATATGGGTAATCCACTATGTACATGGACCATTCTAGGTATAGTTCATAAAACAAAATAGGTGACATTTTCTGCCCTTGTGGAGCTTTTTTTTAAATGGAAAAGACAAAAAACCCCACAAAAACTGTAAGTGTATTATATTAGGAATAAGGCAGAGATCTCTACAAGGCAGAGATCTCTATTAGTATGTTGGGCACTCATGTGCCCATGATCTGAACCTTGCTGAAGGCTGGAAATGGATCTCAATTTCAGAACGTTCTCCTCTCTCTTGGTCTTTTTCATTCATGGAAAAAGAAATAAGTAGACTTTAGAAGAAAATGAAAAAGCAGCCAGCCCATGGCATGAGGTTAAGGTGGCTGGTTCCCACATGGCTGACAGAGGTTGGAGGCCCAGACCCAGCAGCTTGAGAAATACACCAGGCATGTGTGCTTGCTTATCCAAAATCTAGAAAGGAGGGAAAGATGGAAGATTATAGCATGACCATTAACCATGGTACTTCCTCTCTCTCTCTCTGTCTTCCTTGCCCATGGGAAAAAAGAAACTGTAAGGTTAGAGCTCATTTGAGGAGA